CCCCACAATAACACAGCCTGCAACCGCCCCACACAGTGTGCAAACACACACACGCAGCACAAACCCACCCAGCGCACACAAACACAGCCTGCAATCCTCTGCTCGCCCCCCCCCCGCCTTGCGAGCCCTTGCACACGCATCCACAGAGCTTGCAAACCCCCAAACTCACACGCACTCACACTCAAAGCTTGCAAACAGGCTGCAAACCCGCACACCGTGTGGGCACACGCAGCATGCAGCTCCACAAACTTATATATACACATCCCCCCGCCCCATGCAAACACAGCCTGCAGGCACCCGCAAACACACCCCTTGACCAAACACAGCCTGGCTGTCCGGCTCACACGCACACACAGCGGGTGTGAACACGGCGGGTATGTGCGCACACACACGCACACACACACACTCAGTCCTGCACCTGCAGTGCCCCTGCACGCCGTCACCCGTCCCCAGCACCCACCGGGATCACAAGCACACACCGAGTCACAGGCGCCGCAACCCCTACAGCCCCCAAACACTGTCACACCCTGCCAACAGCCTCTTCGCCAGCCCTCTGCAGAGCACACGCATTGCAATAGGCACACACGCAGCACCCCGTGTCTGACTGCGCCGCACTGGGATCCCCAGCCAGGGTCTGTGTCCACACCCCCAAAAGCAGAGGCAACGCAGTGGGTGGTGACATGGTGGGTCCCCATCCCACCAGCCCCCAGGCAGCACCCTGGGGTTCCCGGGCTCTTCCTGCCCCACCGAGGGCAGTGCTGGGGTGGAAACTTGCTCTGGGGTCCCTGTCTTGGTCCCTCCACAGGTCCCCAAATGCCAGCGGGGATGTAAGGAGGGGGCCGAAGGGAGCAGGCACTGCCAGCAGGCAAATCTGCCCACACACTGCCTACAGACCCCAAAAGCTCCCTCTGCCCACTCTGGAAGGCATTTGGGGCTGAAGACACAGAGGGTGTGAACTGCAGCCCCAGGGACAGTCCTGTCCCTCATGCCTGGGTGGTGGGGACCCTGGGTGCAGCGTCCCCGACCGTGTCCCTCTCTGCCCGCACAGGTGGCCCTGGTCAGTGAGCCCGGACAGCAGTGGATGAGCGCTGGGCGCTGGCCTAGCCACACGCACACACCGGCACCATGGACTTCGTCATGAAGCAAGCGCTGGGTGGTGAGTGGGTGCTGTTTCCCTCAGGGTCCCCCCTCCAGGAGTGACACCGACCCAACACCCTGGGGAGCACTGTTGGAGGGACATGGTGGGGGGGACAGAGCCATGGGGAGAGCCACTGGCAGAGGGGAGCTGCTGCCGGAGCCCTCCGGGGCTCTCGTTCCCAGCGCCCACAGTGCCTGGTTGGGGAATCCCGGCTCTCTTGCCGCTAAGTGGGATTCCCCAGCGGGTCCCCTGGGTGCCAGCGTCAAAGGAGCTGCCGGCATCTCCCCCGGCTGACGCTGAACTAGGGCAGCGCAGCCAGCCCACGGCACTCCCCATCCCCGCAGCCGCCAGAGCCCATCTGCAGCTGGTTCCAGCACGGGTGGCCCCGGGAATGGCCCCGGTTGTCCTTGCCGGGGGACTCCGTGCCCTCCCTGGCTCTGCAGGGGCTTCAGCAGCCAGCACCAGGCTGCAGCACCCTCGAGGACCGGCCGGTGGTCTTGTGCTGCACAGGGGCCACTAAGGACATGGGCAAGATGCTGGGGGGTGAGGAGGAGAAGGACCCCGACGCGCAGAAGAAGGAGGAGGAGAGGCAGGAGGCCCTGCGCCAGCAGGAAGAGGAGCGGAAAGCCAAGCACGCCCGCATGGAAGCCGAGCGGGAGAAAGTCCGGCAGCAGATTCGTGACAAGGTGGGCTGTGACAAGGAGGAGGGTGGCCCAAGGCGGTGGTGATGGGCATGGGGCACAGCACGGGCAGCACCCACTGCCCGCCCTGCTGAGGGCCTGTGTCCTCACAGTACGGGCTGAAGAAGAAGGAAGAGAAGGAGGCGGAGGAGAAAGCTGCGCTGGAGCAGCCGTGTGAGGGCAGCCTGACACGTCCCAAGAAGGCGATCCCGGCAGGCTGTGGGGACGAGGAGGAGGAGGAGGAGGAGAGCATCCTGGACACCGTCCTCAAGTACCTGCCCGGCCCGCTTCAGGATATGTTCAAGAAGTAACAGCACCGCCAACCCTGCCATGGGGTGCTGGGGCACGGGCGCCCTCTACCCTCCGACCCCTCCATCAGTTCCCTTGGCCACGGGGGGGGTCCCTACACACCC